TTTTTTTGGTTGCAGCCATCATTGTTGTTTGGCGGGCCCAGGCTGGGGATTCGAACCCGCCACCTTAGGTGTATGTGGCTGGCGCCTTAGCCGCTTCAGCCACAGGCGCCGAGCCTGCATCTTATTTCTAATAGAAAAAAACCAGGAATAAAACACCTAAATGCCTATCAACAAAGAAATACTACATAGCTAATAAGAAAGAATGAGTTCTCTTTTTTTGGTCCTGATTTGCAAAGATCTCTTTAAAAATGAAGTTTAAGGGGCGGCGCCTGTGGCTCAAAGGGGTGAGGCGGTAGTCCCATATGCCAGAGGTGGTGGGTTCAAACCTAGCCCTGGCCAAAAACTGCAAAAATTAAAATAAAATAAAATAAAAAATTAAGTTTAAAAAGCAAAGCATACATCAGTAGGTATGTATATGTCTCATTTATATGAATTCAGGAAATATGTAGGTCATTGCTTATTTATACATAAATTCTAGAAGGATATATGAAAATGCCATTAACATTGGCTGCTACTGGAGAGGGAAAATTAGAAAGCGGTTAATGGAGGGAGGCTGACTTACATTTTAATGTAAGTTTAATTTATATAAAAATTAATACAATTAATTGACTATATTAATTTACATAAAAATTAGTAAAAAAAAAACTATTAAAAAATACAAATAGTCCTTAGGGAACAGGTTTGATAGAATTTAGAGAACACACACTAAATTTTGTCCAAAATCCTTCACCTCTACTCAGTCACTCTGCAAGATTAGATCCAACTCTAATACAGGATCTCTGAGCCTGGCCTAACAAAGACAGGGCCCAAAAATCCTTGCAGTACCTGCTTTGCTTCCTCAGGGAGAGTAAATCCTTTTTCTGCATTTCTTTGGAAATGGTGAGCAAAAAGAGATCAGTAGGATTTCACAAAATTTACATGCTAACTTTTGGATCACTGCTGAAGCTAAAGAGCTGGCCTAAAAACCCAAACTAAAGGAAGGGATAGAATGCTAGCAAGCCCTCTATGTACTACTTCATTTTCTGCCTTGGTAATAGGGTAGCTAACAGAAGGAAGATAAAAACAGAAAAGATGAGAATAACTTAAACAAAAAACAACCATTAGCATTTGCTACTCACACAGCAAATATTCCTTATTTGGTACAGATTCATGCACAGTATAAGCTTTACATAAAAGAACAGGTCCATACCATGCAGAACACAATCTCATGATGAAGCCCCTCTCAAAGCCTGTCTACTAAGACCAATTGGTGGTTTTTTACTTCTGTTGTTAGTAGCTGTGTCATGCAAGCTGGGAAATAGTGATTAAGAAATAGTCATTTGTAGGCTGTGAAAACATAAGGAAACATTTTCTAGGGAAGCCATGACTAAATGTATACATTTTAGGGGAGCAAAAAGGCTACCATTTCTAAATCTTTTTTTTTTTTTTTT